AATATTGTATATTGACAATAAATTAATGCTTGTCTCGATAAAATTAGATAAGATATATAATGAAGCTATTATATATGTAATGAGGTCATTTACTTATTTATTTTTTTTGCGAATATTTATTGCACACTTTATTTTTATATGCTTATTTTTGTAAGTTTTTGCAAATTTCTTTTTTATTATTACTACTATATGTGAAAATATCTTGATTTTCGTTGCATGTGCTACCACTTTGCTTGCAGATACACTTTTTATTTTACGATCACAGTATTATTATAAAGATATTGATAACAGATTTAAAAAAAAGGATAGTATCAGTACTCGCATAATGAAAAAATTCATATTTTTTTATTAATTTAATATTGTATCTTTTCTATGGAAGTATTGGGTAATTAGCGTTTTTCCGGAAATAGCCAATTTTCTTTTTACATGATGCGCGAACGAATTAATGCAGGTTGCTATTTGCGTGCCTCTTCATGATTTTCCGGCAAGGTTTATCTTCATTCCGATCATACCGAGATCGACGAGTTTGCGTTGTCCTTTTCTGAATAAAAAAAAAAGAGTCGAGACTGGTTTTAAAGCTCCGGAGTAATTGGCATATCGCGAGCTAAAATATAAATTCCAGGCTACAATCCGATATTTAGTATCTTCGATAAGAAATATTTGTCACCTAAATTCACACGATTAAAATAAACGGATTTTAATTAAAATAATGCGTCTTATTTTTAATAATTAATATTATCTTTGATAAGTGATCAATATCAATTTTATTTGATTAATTAATCTTTTGCTTCGTCGGTCGTAATATGATGTAGGAAATTATCCAAGAAGTAGGATGATTGAACTTGCTAGATGTGGAGATTAAAATAAATTAATTTGCAATAAATATACAGTAGTTGTGCAACGAAATGCAACAAAATTCCAATAAATTCATGCAACAGGAAAAATATATTTATATTAATTCTACGTTACATTTTCAATTAAGTCTAGAGAAATAATGGTTCAACCGTATTTGTCATGAAGAATAAAATTCCGTAGCCTTCTGAGTTAGAATAATATTTTAATTATACAGTCCGTGGTTTCTAATCATATTGTTTTACTGTAAAGTAAGTTATCGAAAACGCGCTACTGTATTTCTGCGATAAAAATATTACAAGGTCGCAAACGATTTCATAAATCTCGATCTTACCTCCTTATATAAAACAGGTGCACTATAAAAAAATACATATAAAGAACGCCTAAAAAAAATATTAAAATTATAAATTGACATTGGAATTTTCAAGCTCTTAAGAAATTTAAAACTTTCAAATAGAGATTTCCATTTTATTTTTTTACAAACATATCTGTGATATGTATATATATTTTTTTTCTTCCCGGTTTATTTTTAATTCCTTTTTCAACATCACGCTTCGATCAGCAGGAAAATCTTTCGCCTCACGTGTCGAAGTATCCGCGGCACTTTCTGCAAATTCGCTCATCGATCATTGTGATCAATTGACCTTGAAAGTGTCTTAACGTAATTCGCTCGCGAAGATGCCGCGTCGTCATGAAGATGACGACGAGAAGTCTGTTCGAAATGCAGTGATGGGCATCGAAGCGCCTCTCGTTTGAATTGAAAGTGCCCCATTAGTTCGTTTAGTCTCGCTTCTTCAATATTTTTACGATATAAACAAATATCTTTTCAATAAAAAAAAGTTGCAAATTCGCTCATGAACCAATTACTTTATGAAGACACCGTGAACATCTACTTTGTCGGAGTATATAATTTTGTTTGAATCTGTCGTCTTTTTTCATTTTTATGCACATGTAAGTATTTAATATTATAACAAAATATGAAAGGCTTTCTTTAAAAGGTAAAAATATGAAAAATACTGCGTTCATCTTATTTTTGTAAAATAAAATTATCTGGAAACACGATAGTGTCTCGGCGTTAAGACAAGCGAAGTGTCTTATACACGGAAAAAAACGATTTTGTCGAAGTGTCTAAAAATTTAGATCAATCTGAAAATAATTTTGTTGGACTATTAAAATAATCAAGATACTCAAGCTAATTGCTAAAATATCAAAACTTTTTGCAGCATTATTCATTATACTTTAATTTTCTACATAATTATTTTGATGGATCAACAAAATTATTTTTCAATTCTAGATTTACTAAATTTACTTCAATAAAATCTGTCCTTCTGTGTATATCGGAACTTATGATAACGGATTTAATGCGCAATTAGTCTAGTGCATCTTCTTGATAGGATAGAGCTTCCAAAACCCTATAATATATCAACAATTTAATGAGTTATCCGTGCAAATCTCCCTCTATAACTAATCTTCATGCAGAAATAAAATAATAAACGATTCTTTCAGAATCTGCTATCAAAATTCCAGATTTCTAAAGCACAAAAACACGCTTGTCAAAACGTGAAACATCTACTTCTTCCTGGATCCCTTTCGATTTCTAAGTGCTTTCGAGTGTCTTCACTTTCTCATTCTAAATTTGTTTGCGGCGTACGAATTTATCCCGATTTAATTTGTTCCCCGTTCCTATAATTGTGACTTTGAGTTTTTAGAGAGGAAAGCGACCTTGGTCGTGAATGCGTCTGCGCCTTTCAATGGCCGGCCGGTCCGAATAGTGAGATGCGCCATAGCCGATCGATAGAAAGGATGCAAGACTCTTTCGTGTAATGCAAGCATTCCGTCTCCACGCTTTCGCATTCCTCTCGTTCACGTGCCATGTTTTCTCATCAGTCTCATTAGAGTCGCATCATCTTCGGATCCGAGACACGCGATCGTGTCTCCTTGCCCTTCTCGCCTACAATTTTACACGACAGTCCGTCTAGTGCGCGGAACGAGTGATCAGCTGCTGGGTATCGCCGCACCAGTATCTGTTGCTCGCTTGGAGATTTCATTTCATTTCTTTCTCGTGAAAACTCTTGATGAGTAGGGTAATGTTACGGAGAAAGACCTTTTACCCCAGTTGATCTAGAGAAGCCGCGAGTGAAACATCGTGAGACTATCAAGTGCATTAAAATTATCTGTACAAGAACTTCCTTCGGTAATTTATGATAAAAATTAAAAACAACAAGACTGTTTACGGAGACTAACGATTTTCATGAAGTGGACCCGGTCAAATTTTGAATGAAGCTCCCACGTTGGGAGCTCTTTGGAAGAAATGCTCGCGCGTACTTTTAGTGCATTCGCGTTGCGAGATCGTAATTGTTCGGAATGTATGAAATACGTGCCAGAATCCTTTAATTTGACGACCTCAGGTAATCAGAGATACATCGCATTATTGCAGACATCTCTTTGACGTTAATATATTATTCGAATAAAAAATTGTCGAAACTTTAAATAAAATTACGTAAAATTATATTTTGCAGAACAATATTCATGTTGAAGGGAATTTATGATTTTAAGAATTATTGATTACAAAAAAATAATCGATTTTCTTCAAAGAGTTGTGTTGTTCTATAAAAGAGCAATTATATAGGCATATATAAAAAAAATATGTGTCTTAGTTTAGACTGTAAACATATTAAAAGTTCAAAATCGAATGGAAACACTTTTATGTTTTCTTATTATTATTAGTTCAAAATATCTGTGCTAATAAAGCTTACATGAACAGAACAGTTTTGTTGAAGTAACTAAAAATTTTTAGCTATAAATACAGATCTGAAAATAATTTTGTGGGATTGTTAATAATTATGTAGGACATTTTCAAACATGATGTAAGTAGTTCTGACATTCTAACAATCAGTATTTAATATAATAATTTTGATGGGGCAACAAAATTATTTTCTGATCTGAATGGAGCTAAATTTTTAACTACTTTAGCAAAACCGTTCTTTCCGTTTCTTTGTAGAATTATTAAGTTAATTATAAATCACACGCAATATTAAAATGTCACATACATGAAAATATGTAAAAATATCTATCCTTTTTTTTTGTTAAATAAGTGAAATTAAACGATGAGTTCATCAAAAAATGTATGAATATTTAATCAGGATTTGTGTTTTGCTTACTCGAAATAAAATAACTTACGTTTCAGATCGTTGCGTGGGGGATTATAAATAGTAGAAAATCGATTATATGATAATAAAATATAAGACAATAATACATGAAGATCTAGTCTGAAGATTATTTTGTTACTCACTTTCGAGAGGAACGAAGCTTCCATTTATGGTAACACATCCTATTTCAAAGTAAAAGAATTGAATTTGAATCAATATAATTTCGACGAGTTTACCTTTCGATATTACGAGTAAAGAAAAGTTGACATTTACTTTATTCGGCGCAGTTCTATCATCGCGAATGAGAAATTTCGCATATCTATTACTTTGAATGCTGAACTCGCTGAAATTTTATCAGTGGATTCAATCACTGTCGCAATACTATCGATACGCAAATGGATTGTGCGCGAAATATCGTTCAACAAAAGAAATATGACACTATCTTGTACATCAATTGTGTGCACAAGTCATAGAGAATTGTATTGCACATTCGATTCTATATATGGTTCATATTTGATAGAATATAGAATTAATATTAAAAATTGAATAAAATTGACGATTTATAATATATAAATGTATAACATAAAAATAATTCAAATTTTATGGGAATAAAAACAAAAAATAAAAAAATAAAATGGATATTAAAAAATATTTAAAATATTTAAAAAATAAAAATTGATTATATATATTACAATAAAAACACAGATCACAAATAAAAAAATCTCAATATATGCGTGTAATAACTTTAATTATATTGTAATATATGAGAACATATTTAAGTAGGTATAATAATATTTTTCGTATAAGAAGATAAAAAGTATAATAGTTGAAAAGAAATCTATCAGAATCTTGCTTATATTGTCTTCAGAGCTTAAAAATGCAATAGTCCGGCCTCTCTGCACATATATATCTGCTACATTATTATTTTTTTTTTTATTTTTTTTTTTAAGCTCTTTTATTCCAGCAGGTTTAATAACAAATCATCACACTCTGTTACAGTCTTATGTAGCAACCGAGTGAGCCAAATGACAAAGACCTATAATGATATAGAAGCAGTTACAAGGCTTCTAGAGGAGGTAAGTCTGACTAGGAAGCAAGAACTAGTAGCAACTAAGTCCGCGCTGTGCATATCGTCGTTAAAATTTTACGAATCTAAATGTCCGTATCTAAAAATATTAACGAGACATCTGGAACAAATCGATATAATGTAACGAACCGATAAGTGATGATCGTTTAGATTTGTAAACAGTTACGTAATTAGAACTCGTGAAGAATTTATAATAGAGTTTTTGTCAAATTATTAGAATTTTATTTGAAATTTGTTTTTATATTCTTTTCATATTCTTCTGAATTATCAAATTTTATCAATTTAAAGATAGTTATTAGAAACTCCCTTTAAAAGTGTATTGATAAAAGTATAAGCGTTGCAAGGAATATTATTAAAGCTATTTTAGAAATAAATTAGTAATAATTATAGAGAAAGCTTTAATTATAATAATAACAAATGACAAATGGCTACGTTTTTTTTCGACAGAAAGAAAAAGACTTGGAGCTTACAGCGCGCATCGGCAAAGAATTGCTGGCACACAATCAAAAGCTCGAAACCACAGTAAACGCATTAGAAAATGAACTTAAGGAAGCGAATGAGAAAATTACTCAATTGAATCATGAAGTATTGAAAAAGACCGAGCTGATACAGGTACTGACGAACGATGTGGACGAATCTAGCTCAGAGGCTGGAACTCCCACCGGCCTACGCGGCATTAATTTGGAGATGTTACAAAGAAAGGTTTCCTGTTTGGAAGACGAAAATAAGCAGCTTCGCAGCGAGTTCGCGAAATTAGTTTGTGATGCCGACAATTCCGAAGAACAGGAGGCACGCCTTGTAAAAGATATCGCAGCGCAATTAGGTATCTCATCGTATATTTTGTTTCTATATTCAAATGTATTTACTTGTAATGCATTTTTATATTTCATATTACATAACGCTTTAATAATTTTGGCTAAATCAAATAATATTAATTAATAATTGTATGAACATTAGACAAAATAAGATTAAAATATTATTAAATTATTTCTGGCAAATAACAGCAAACGCTAATATGGAGGTGGATGGTATAGCGGAAGAGCTTGGGCGGCAAAAAGATGAGAATCGATTGCAGCATGAGCAAATAATTAGTCTTACTGCAAAATTAGCTGAGACAGAGCTTAGGCTCGCTCAACTGATGGCGGAGCACGACGAAGTGGGAGCAACTCTAGTCATCACTAGGGATAATCAAAATACACTTGCCGCTGAATTAGCCGAATTCAAAGAACGATATGCGGAGGTATGTTTGTATATATATATATAAGAAAACAATAGATTAATTAATTATTCTGTTAAGCTTTGTGTGCGAGAAATATATAAATGAAAAATTATATTTAATAATTAAAGAATAAATACATTAAGATCTGAACTATTATATTTTGTTCGTATAAATTGTATCGTATAATAAATCTGTATCATGCATATTATGTGTGTCAGGTGGTGAACTTGTTAGCCGAAACACAAGAACAATTGCGAAAACAGAGAAAACGCGGAATGCCGACTGTGCGCGGTGGATCGCTATTCCCGTCGATGGGTGCAGCACCTCAACCGGATTCTATCGCTTCTGAATTGGAATCGTCCCTTTACTCGGAATTAAGCATTGACTCTGGAATTGGAGCAGGTGATAGAATGTACGTTACAAAGATGCATTTAATGATTTGTTATTATTTAAAATTAAAACTAATTGAACGTACACATGCACACAAACATACATTCTCAGATGTTCGAATTATAATTATAGTTACTTAGCAATAATTATTTAGCGATAATTACTTAGCAATTAATCAAATAATTCGTATTGCACTTGTTCTATAGTCCAACCTACAAGAAAGTATTTGAGACTGTTCGTACAGCATCTCGAGCAACACATGCGGGAATGGATCCCAACCAGTTTCCTAGGTTAAATTCTATGACGACATCGACATTATCTAGCAGTTCTATTGGTCCGCGAATGAGTTGTGGGCAAGTGCGACCGCAAGCATCTACATTTCCCAGTTTGGATTCTACCGGTGAGAGCGAAGGATCCTTGCTCATCGAATCTGAAGATTACCCGTGTGTATCCAATTCTTTATGAAAAGATACGAATTGATTTTCTTATATTTTCAGTAACACTCTGCTGTGTTTCAGAGGACCACAACGAACGGGTGTACCTGGTGCTCCTGGTGCTGCTGATCTAGAAGCCGCTATACGTCGTCTAACTCCTGCGGAAGTATTAGCAAGGCGTGCATGTCTCAGTACAGGTGCTGGTTACAGTTACGATTACGACGGTGGCATATTACATTCCCCACCAATCTTCTTGCCTTTTGATTGTCGCACTCCGGACAGCATTATGTCGACTGGCAGTAGCGGCAACCTAAGCGGTTACAGCGGCAACAGTGGCAACGCTTGGCGTATTCCGCAGAAGTTACAGATAGTCAAACCAATGGAGGGTTCCCAGACGTTGCATCATTGGTCACGACTGGCGACGCCAACATTAGGTGGATTGCTGGAAGACAGACCAGGCGTTAAGACTAGAGGTGGTCGTGCTCTCGAAGATCTCGGTCTCATAACGTTTACGTTAAGCGATTTGGAGGAAGATGAGGAATACACTAATCCTGGTAAACCGTTCCAAGACACTGGCTCCATTTACACCTTTACTAATAGTACCGTTATGCATCCGGATGATCATACTACCAGCGTAACACCGAGCATCGTTAGTAGTCGCGTCGCTTCGGCACCCAATAGTGGTATGAACTCTGGTATGAGCACCCCTCGTACGCACAGCCGTCGCAATTCAACATCAACGTTTTCCACTACGCTTGGATTGGCTAAAATGTTGAACGAAAGAGGAATCAAAGCTGTCACGCCCTCGTGTATAGGCACGCCTACTGACGATCGGAATTTCTCACCGACTGCTACACCGTGCAACAGTCCAGATGCGAGTCTGTCACCGACAAGGTCATCATCACCAGTACCGGAGAGCGCTGCCTCGTTGACATTGGGACTGCTCAGCACCGGAGCGGAATTACTGAGGCGTACTTTTAGTTATGAGCCACCAGCGCCAGTGCAAGTTAAGAAGAAGAGACCAAAGTCGACAATTTCACGCTCCGACAAAAAAGCTCTCACGGGTATACGTCTGGTGGAGAAATTGGAGAGAATTGGTATTGATACAATCATAGCTACTACAGCCAGCTCGTCAATTTCACCGTTAGCTTTACAAGGTGCTTTATACACGCGTCGTTCGACTGGAAGTCCAATGGCACAATTGACTTTCCTCAAAACTTCGATGTCCTCCAGTATCAGCCAAGAGAAGTTAATATCTCCTTTGTCTTCAACATCCTCCACTAGTGACGAATTTCCGCCGAGCAAATCGCCATTATTGCTCGGTAAACGAGATGATAGCAAGGAGCCTGAACCAAGCATGTCTGGTTCCAATGCATTTAACTCGAGAGCAACGGGTCAGTCACCGGATCGACAACGACGATCGGGTACTAGAGCAACGAGGCCCGATCTGGGTAGAGTTAAGCCACCAATTCCGACGCCTGTAACTAAAGAATCCAAACAGTCGGCATTGGGAGCAATAAGCTCGCTTCTTTTTGGTCGTAAAGGTGGCTTATTGTGAATATTTTGTAATGGGATAGGAGACAAATCATTCAATTCCAGCGAATTATTTTTTAACATGTTCGCAGAAAAAGAGCTCATTTTTTTATTACCTGGAAATTTCGATTCACTTCGGTACGGCATTACTTGAGTACACGATATGCTTTTGTCGCCAATATTATTGATTGTCTAGACTTGGATGTATTCGCTAATGTAATTCGTACAACAATTTTTGAATCTAATGTGATGAATCACTGTAAATAATCATGAAAATATTAACGTTAATAAGATAAATCAGAGGTTGCTAAATATTCTATATAATAAATATTATATTTTAAGTTTTATCCTAAAATTCTTGATTTAAATGTGAGACAATTTGTGAGGGCAGAATATATTCTGTACAGCGAAATTATTATACATTTTAAATTTTATTTTAAAATTTATAATAAATTAAGAGCGGAATGAATACAGAAAGCTAGTTTTTTTCATAGTTTGTGAATAGACATCTAAATATTATTAGCTTAAATGAAGACGAAAGATTATTTTGTGTTTATATATTAAGATCTTTGACTATATATCTATGGACTGCTAGTTGTAATATTTACGCATTGTATTTAATAACATAAAAATTTAGGAAGCAAGACATAGTATAATTGATAATATAAATCATCAATTTGTTACGTTAAATTAAAAGTACATATGAAAATCAATATAAACTTTTTATTTAATAAATTTTTTTTTTAGTATATATAATTTCTTTTATAAAAGTCAAAAAAGATTAACAACATATTTAAGTATAATTTTTATAAAAGGATATACAATATATGTGTATAATAGTAAAACTGCCCAAATTGTAAAAAGTTGTAGCTTTTAGTTTTAGTTTCTTTTTTTATTTTTTATTTTTATTATCTCGCAAAAAATATGTATCAATATATAATGGTCCATATTTTTTTGCGAGTGAGTACATACTATATCAATATATTTATAGTAGATAAATATTAATATTTTTTCGTAAATTTAATAAATCAAATAAGTTTTACACTTCGGAACACTTCGCTCAATATTATAAGATATACAGATTATTTAGTGCAGTTCATATTCTTACATAGTTAAAGATTGAAATATATTTCCAATAATACATATGAAGGAACAAAAACAAAAAAAACAAGGCAATTATAATATAGTTATAATGAAATTAAAATATCGTGTATTCGAAATTTGTAGCTAATGACTGGAGAGTTATTACCAATGCAATGTAAACAATTAGTATACAAAAGTCAGGGAGGACGCTGAGAATGGTGCAACGTACTATAAATGCATTATTTTACGTAATTTAGCACAAAGTCAAATTTCGATGCTTATTTATTTTCTTTAGCGAACGCTTGGACGACGAGTAATAGCATCGTCAATAGCTATTGTCAGTCTTTGCACGCGGAAGATTGTGCATTTAGCGTTGATTTATAAATATGTACTGTATATAGTTGAATGAAATGTAGCGGAACGGTAAAAAGCGTCTCACATTCATTCTTTTTTTCCTTAGCGATTTCTTTCGCGTAACTTCGTAATTTATTGCAATTTCATTTCCTGCAAGTCTGAGTATATATATATATATGAGAGGACATGTAATGTATATTATAGATAAAAGTGTTTAGCTCGATGCAGCTTTGTACATAGACGTACAAATTAATAAATTAAATTGGAAAGTAACGTTGTGTAGCTATTCTACCTCGTTTGCATTTTCCCTGCATTGTTCTAATCATTCGAGAGGCCTAGAACTAACCGGAAAGAAATCGTGAAATGGCTGCGTATGTATTGTAAATAGAGCGATTGACGAAGTGAAATGATATGTTTTATTATAATCATGCTTTGTATTGGCAAATAAGTTCGTTCGGTTTTTTAGGATGGAATAAAACAATTTTATATATATTCTATTTTCAAAAGAATTGGCAATTACATATACTATTCGATAGAGGAAAATTTTAGCATTAAGAATCTGTTTTTTTTAATTGCGATACGTTTGCGTAGATTTCTCTCTTGAATAAGGAATAATACCATATCTTCTTTGTTATGATGTATAATAAGAGCGTTAAAAAAGATCAAATATTAGTATAATGTATAATTATGGTAAAATTGCATGAATGCGCAACTATTTAAGAATATATATAAATAACGGAAAACATTATGACATAGATTCGCGTTGATTTCTTATGAAAACAGGAATTGAGAGAAAACGCAAAATAAGGTATAAAATATGTATAAGAACAAAAAGAGATACGAAACGTAATATGAAAATAAATTTTACGGCAATTTACTCATTTATTCAACAGATTTTACACAATAAAATAAATTATTCAAACCAATTTTACATTCAGTTTTCACTAAAATGAAAGAAAATAAAAGAATGATATGTGATTGTCACACAAATCAATAGATTAATTTTCTTGAACATAATCGAAAAACTGTATTGTTTCGATAAAATCAAATGAATGTACATATGATTATTTAACGGAATGAATAACGAAGGATATTGAGAATAAGGAAAAATGGTTGTAGTTTTCTATGAAAACTGATAGAAATTATAAAGAGTGCGCCAAATAAGACATAACAAGTAAATTTAATAAAAATAAAAAATTTTCTGCGTAATTTGTTCAGGTGATTACAATTTATATTTTAAATAAATTACCCGAACATTTTATTTTTTTTACAAATTAATTTCACATTCAGTTTTCATATTAAATGAAAGGAAACACAATTGTGTCAGAAAGCAACAAATAAATTAATTTTCATAAGTATGTTAAAGAACAGTATCGATGAATGATATTTCCTCGAGAAATGTGTAATTGTTGTAGCTAAGAATAAAAGGAGGAGAATTGTGTATTATTATGTGATTGTGTACACTAATATCTGATAGATTATATACCGAGATTGAGAAAGAGAGGCCTTAATAAGCATAAAATTTTTGTTTGATATCCGAGATTTCATTTTAAATTGTGATATATATTTATGCTGGCACGTGTACTTGAATTTCGTAAGCTTATTTTCATTAATCACATGGTACAATTTGCCATGATATGTTCGATCGGACAACTACTATGCATTTGACAAGCATATATGTTTACAACAAGCCCTTGTTAAAGGTGCTATGTAATCATCTTAGATGTATATGGCAAGTAGAAATATATCATATACCTCCAAATTAAACAATAAATATATTTAAATATTAATATTGCAGTTTCTCTTATAAGTTATAGCATTTCTTCGTCTATCATATAAAAACTTGTAAATAAATATTTACAAGCTTTTTATAATTCTTTTTTATGTATTTAAATTTATTTTTATTTGTTTAAAAGAAGTAAAATTTTAGAACTTAACTTAAAATGAAAATGATTTAAACTTTGATATTTAATAATTTATAACGATATATAATATTTATGTTTAAACTACGCTGTGTAACTCCATATTTCTGAATTAATTTTTCCAATCATTAAATTTATTGCAATTTTAAATATGAAACAAAATGTGTTATAAAAATTTTGAAAAAGTTTAATAAATTTTATATTGTGCATATTATCTTTATAATCATGGATGTAGCATGGACGAAAGCACCATAACTTTCGATACTATTTTATCAGTAGTGTTGATAATGATAGTTTTCATAAAAAGATATTGTGCCGTTAGCGTACATACGAGGACCTTCGAACGTCAACGAAAAAGGCTGAAAGGGTCGTTCTCAAGTTTCAGATTTCTGCCTATAGTTACTTGCGCTGTTCTGTCAGCTGTCTACTGTTACTCTTTTTTTTCTTGCTCTTCTCTAACATGGCGGTGAGTGTACATTTTTTGCATCCCTCTCAAATCTCCAAAGAATTTTTAACTTTTCTCTTGGTCTCTATGTTTTTTTATATCATTTAATTTTATTAAATATTACTATAATGTGAACATAACTGATACTATAAATTATCAAAAATACTAAATTTTTATTAAAGCCATCTATTTTAACAGTTGTCCCGCTCACGTGGACGAGATTTCACGCTTTCGCATTCATAACATATTGTCATTGTCATTAACACATTTGCACAACAATAAGATTTCTTGAATCATTTATTTTTAACTTTCGATAAATTAGTATCAACATAAATAATTCATTAAAAATATATTTTATCCACGTTAATAGATATTTATCAAATGGTATTTAAAAATTCTACAGGTTAAGAATTCTACATCAATTCTACATCGATTAATTTGTGCTTGAATTAATTAGGATACGAAAAGTGCTTCTGAAGAAAAATTCAAAAAGAAGCTTTTGAAGAAGCCAAAGAAGGAGCCAAAAGATGCATCCAAGAATATAATGCGTGAAGTCCGAATTCGGAAGTTATGCCTAAATATCTGTGTAGGCGAGTCTGGTGATCGCTTGACGCGTGCTGCCAAGGTAAATTTTACAAGTATGATTTTATTTTTAAAAAATATTTTTAAAAAATATTTCTAACAATTGAGAATCTCTAAACTTATAATAATCTTTCATATAGGTCTTGGAACAACTGACTGGGCAGCAACCAGTGTTTTCCAAAGCTCGATATACAGTACGTTCATTTGGTATCCGTCGTAATGAAAAAATAGCTGTACATTGTACTGTACGCGGCGCCAAAGCTGAAGAGATTCTGGAGCGTGGTCTAAAGGTGAAAAAGTCAAAGAATCTTTAGATATATATAATTTATGCTTCTACTATAATGCTAATATGTCATTTGATTACAGGTGCGGGAATATGAATTAAAGAAAGAAAACTTTTCTGGTACTGGAAACTTTGGTTTTGGGATTCAAGAACACATTGACTTAGGAATTAAATATGATCCCAGTATTGGTATCTATGGCTTAGACTTCTATGTTGTACTTGGACGTCCAGGTTAGTAATCACTACATTAATTATATCTAGAGTAGAAGAAATACACACATACACACACACACACACACACACACAATAGATATCGTTTGTTTGGTGATAAAATATATTTAATTTATACTTTTAAATGTGTTAGGAAATATTTCATATTTGTGAGAACCATGTTTGTTTCATTTTACTAAATGATTATTTAATTGTGTATGAGATTAAGGATGCGATTGGATTTGATTAAGGATGCAGGATGGATATTCAGTAATTATTCAGTATCCAGCCCATCCGATCAGGTTTTTATAATCCAGCTATCTGGCTGGATAATTTAACTATCCAATCAGATTGTGAAAAAGTCATTTTCCACAATTTGGATAGAAATAATTATACATATTAAAAAATATTTTAATTTTCAAAATATTTTATGGGATGTATATGTGGCCAATTTATAAATTACATATTCTTTTATTAATGTTTCCATTAACATATATATAATGTAATATAATTTAAAAATTAAATGAAATAATTTTTTTATGTCTTTATTCTTTGTTTGTATATTACATTTTTGTTACATATTATTTTTTTAAGTATTTTTTTATAAGAAATATCAACATTTCTGCATTATCAAACAATAATTTGTTTATTTTCTGTATAAATATTAAATTTTTATAGCTTAATTAAGCTTAATGTTTACATTTAAAAAATTCTTGTTTTATTGTGAAAAAACAATAAAAAAATTTTTCATTTTTTAATCTCTGAGCAATTTTCAGATAATGTCTGATTATCCGTCTGATTTTGTCGAATAAAATAATTTAGTTATCCGCCTTTATCAGATAAGATTCAGTATCCGATTATCCAATCAAATCATTGTCCATTGCATATCCGATGCTTACGTAAATAGTGTTTAGCATGTATAAATATTTTAATATTTAATTAAAAGGTCTCGATTAGGAATGCAACAAATAATGATTCGTCGGATAACTGAACACCGGATAAGTTAGAAGAGAAATTAGATAGAAGTGCTATATATTTTATATATGAATATATTATATATATTATTAAATGTGTATTTTTTATTTACAGGATTTAATGTAGCACACAGAAGAAGAAAGACTGGTAAGGTTGGTTTTCAACACCGTCTTACCAAAGAAGATGCCATGAAATGGTTCCAGCAAAAATATGATGGTATCATTATAGCTGGAAAAAAATAATATGTATATTGTAACATATACGCGTTCTTCATAAAAAGTTTTATCAATAATTATTTACAATTTAATTATATATACCTCACATATATACATATATGTATATATATGTATTCTATTGTAAAATTCTATCGCTATTTCTTAATAAAAATAATAAGATAGTAAAAAATCTTTACTATATGATTGGCTTAATTCATTATTTATAATGAAAATAAAAAATTTCACTATATAATAGAAGCTAAGAATGAAAAATGATAGAATTTTACTAGTTCTTGCCATTAAAAATAAAATTAGGTTCCTGATGACGCACGTATGTACACTCATCCGCAAAAAAGTGGCATTGAAAATTTAGGAAAAATTTACCAAATGATCATAACTTGGTAAATAATAAAGATAAAAATATGTTTAAAAATATAAAATGAAACTTGAAGTGTTCATTTTAAGAATATTTGAATAAGAATTATACAGGGCTATTATTTTCAAAATGGCAGAATGAGAAGATGCAAAATTAATAATCAAAGGTCCGAGATTACAACGCATGATGTCGCAGACTAATAGGACAAGATGAAAATATGGAATTTTATCTTTAAAATGCTTTGTTACGGAGTTCGATAAAATAGTTTTTCACTAAATTGTTCCAAATTTAAGATATCGCAATCATTAGCTCAAGTTATGATTGTAATTCATCCTTTGTGCGCGCGTGCGTGCATTCATTATTTCATTCACGCACATACAAAAATGAGGTTCAATTTCAATCAATTCATGTTGGATTTTAATTAAATGCTTACGTAAATATAGTGTTTAGCATATATAAATATTTTAATATTTAATTAAAAGGTCTCGATTAGGAATGTAACAAATAATGATTTGGCGGATAACTGAATTAATGTCGGTTAACCGGAAGTTAGAAGAGAAATTAATTAGAATTGTATACTTCTAATTAAAAATGGAATTATTGTATAATGTAATTTTTCAATCTAATATCTCATTACTTTAATTATAAAAAGTAACAATTCATTGTATTTTTCTAAGTATAACGGAAATACCTTATTATTTTTATTTTAAAAAATAACATTCCTAACTTTGATTAAATTTGCTAAAATGTATGTTAAAAAACGAAATGCTTGAAAATAAAAATACGTTGTAATAAATTCTGGCAATTGTATATTGACATATTAACATCATGTAATGTCGTACATGATATAACGAATTATGAAATTATTGAACAAATAATTCCATAAAATAATCACTAGAATTCGCCACGTATAATTATAGCAAAGATACTAAGAGAAATCATATATTATATATATATTTTATATTAGCCATAATATACATATCACCTTCTTTATTAATAAGCAATTACGTGCCATATATAATTAGACAAAGACGCAGAGTTTAATTTTCTGTAAGACAGGATAGAATAAAAGACGCAACATAATGAGATCTTTCATCTATATGTTCTAATAAATTAATAAATTAATAGATCGATTTCTTTAATCCAGTCTCTAAAGGATTTTAAGGAAATAAATGAGATTTATTTTAACAGTATATACAATTATTTCTTTTAATTTTATGTACAAATTAATTTAAGTCTGTGTTCACCATATATCAGATTTAGAAATTTTTGTATGTAAATGTCATTTGAATGATATCTTTTTTTTTCTAAAATCATTGCATTAAAGGTATCTTTATATATAATTCGCAAATCACAAAACGTAGTTCTCAAATGCTGACGCAGAATGACGATCACGCAAGATACAGATGAAAACTAATCGCATGCAAAGAAAAAAACAAATGCAAATTTTTATTCTGCGTTTGCGAATTATGTAGATTTAGACAATAATTACTAATATTATTATATATTGATGTCATTATCTTCAAGATACCATTGTCAGATTTTCAAATATGAACCTTTGAAGAATTCTTTCTGATAACATAATGCTCGATCGTTATTCAATAAACAATATCAATGAACAATATAATATATTATAGAACCGTAAATGTGTGATAACACAAATTATAGAAATCAAAGCTTTAAATGATCTAGTTGGCTCTTATTGTTTGTATGATTCTTGTGTGAATTTATATATTACGTATGTAATCCATAGAAACGCACGTTAAAATAATTTTTCGGTTTAAACGGTTTTGAAACACTCTACTAAATTACCACAGTAATATCATAAGTTAAATTGCCTAACAATTTAACAAATTTTTGATGCTTATTCACATCTTCGAAATGATCTTAATAATGTTGAATGACATATTAAAAATCTATAAATAATTAATTCTTATTACAAAAAATATCGCACGGAATGCAAGAGATCCGGATTTGACTCCGTGATAATATTTTTCGCAATAAGAACTAATTATTCATTCAAGAAATCGAGCATCCATCGAGCATTCTATCTTTATATTATATAACATGGAAAAAAATACGGATTATATTAACTTTAAGCAATATGTATTTTTGGAATATTTCATTGAACATGGAATTTTACATACAAAATATAAAATGTAAAGATGAACAGATCTAATATGCCGCTTTGCCATGCCCCATTATTTTCTAGGCGCACTGAGTTTAGATTGATTACAATAATCACACAATAAATGTAAAATTCTATTTTTTCGCATAATTCTGTAATTTCGCATAAAACTTTTTTTTATCATTTATACGTTGTAAAAATATTTATATTTAAAACTACAAGTTATTAACTTTTACATAAAAATAGTATCTCTGGCAGAAAACAAATTTTTACAAAAAAGTATAAAAAACTACATAGATTGAGATAAAATCTTAGAAATTCTTAATTTTTCATTGATATTCGTAGTAGAATATAGAGATTTGTTTGGCTGTGGTCTCACTACAAATGCTTTGAAGCATTTGATGGACCAATTAGAAGAGAGAATTTTACAAACTGTCCAGTTAAAAAACGCTTCAAAGTATTTGCGGCATCGCGTTGATCATTACCTATTGGCAGTCGTGTCGCACGTTAAACTGGTTCCGCCGGTTCTGCGCTAGTGGCACCACTAGCGCCAATTCAGTTCAGCAGCGCTCTCACCTCTTACTTTTCAGTTCTTTTCTTCAAAATGGCGGTGAGTTTACTTTCCTTACTTCGAAGAAACTTCTCTTAATCTGCATGTATCTCTTACATCATTTATTTATATTAAATAAAATTATGACATAGAAATAACTAAAATTGTTATGAATTATCAATGATATTTATTTTTTTATTAAAGCGTCGATATTTGAAACTGTCGCGTATGACAAACCGATAAAAGTCCACGCTTGTTTTTAATCAGTATATATA